GTCCTCGCTCTGGCGTGGCTTCCCTTGAGTGATAGGTATGGTGTGGTAGTTTGGGTATGATAAGGTTGGTATGGTATGGTAGGTGGTGTGGTATGGTTGGCATGGTATGGTAGGCATGGTATTGGTATGGTATGGTAGGTATGGTATCTGGTAGGTATGGTATGGTAGGTCTGAAATTGGTGTGGTACGTACGGTATGATATGGTAGGGAGGCGCGAGAAGGAGAAGGAGAAGGAGAAGGAGAGGGTGTTCTAGGAAATTCAGCACCCCACTCAGGACGTCGGGGAAAAAGCACGGACTGGCACCAACACAGAGCACCATAGCGCATTCGTTACGACGACACGCCCACTGCCCCCAAGTTCGACGCGATCGCTGAGCCGACGGCCCAGGCCTCCAAAACGAGCGGGGCCATCGGCCACATGCAACAGTGTATGGAGGCTGGCGAATCCCCCGTCCCAAGCAGAAAGCTTGCTTCGGCGGCCGAGGCAACGCGGGAAGGTTGATCAGGCATTCCAGGACATTCGCAAGTTGCCTTCAGTCCACAGCAGCGGCGCGAACAGCAGCGGCGACGATGGCAACGCAGCGAAGAACGCCCGCAATCCTTTGTTCCGCCCGGCCCATCTTGGCCTGCCCGACTTCTTGTCCAAAGTTAAACTGGCCACTGTCCGTCATGAGGTGATTCGCGAGACCAGCCAGCATTGTTGTCCTCGCTTCACGTGTTTCAGAAGCGATGAAGGCTACGCCCTGAGACTTTTCCCAGAAAGTGATCATTGCGTTACTTTCAGATGATGCAACGGGTAGCACGATTTAGACGTCTTGTCGCAACAATACAGAAGGCCGCGGGTGCAAGACTTCCACTGGCGAGAGGACCTTGCGCCTTAAAACCTTGCGCGATGGCGAAGCTACCAAGCAGTCTGCAGTGATGGGCACGGTTCGCAGCGAGTTCGGATTGACCAGGACGGTGTTCCATCTTTCCAGGGGTGGAAAGATGATTCGCCCGTGGGCAGCACATGGTTTTCGGGTTGCAAGAACAATCGTTCTAGACCACCTATCATAGTGCCAGCATCGCAGAGCGGATTTCGTTTTAAAAAGATGGGATGGGCCCGGAGAGTCCTGGAGAATTTCGTTCCAGATTTCGAGGTGAATTTCGTGCGGATTTCTTTTGGCCAGGAACGAAGACGAAGCGAATCCACGCGAAATCCACTTCGTTTTTCACTCGCCGTTTCGGGCTCTTGCATTTACAGAAATCTACGGAACAATCTGCTGCAGCATGTCTGCAAGGTCGGTGCAGTGACACCTACGCCCAGAGGGCCGGCGGGATGCTCGAGCCCGTCGCCGTCGACGAACACGCGCAGAGCGGCCCAAGCCGGCAGGGCCGCGGACGCGCTCGGCATCCGCAGTCTTAGGCCTTGCCGAACGCGGCGAGGGCATCGCCCACCTGCGCAGGGCCAGAATCTCTGGGACGACCGCCCGGCCCGCGGCGTGCCAGCTGCAACCAGACACGCCGGACATGTCATGGCGCCAACATCGCAGAGTGGATTTTCTTCGGAAAACGATGAGGTGGGCCCAGGGTGGCCTGGAGAAGTTCGCTCCGGATGTCGAGGTGAATTCCGTGCGGATGTTTTGAATGATGACCAAAAAGAATCCACGCAAAATTCACGTCGTTTTTCGCTCGCCGCTTCGGGCAAAAATCCACGCAGAAATCCGCTGCGGCACGTCTGCGAGGCTGCCGCAATGAAAACTCTGGGACGACCGCCTGGTCCGCGGCGTGCCAGCTTCAACCGGGCACGCCAGGCGTGAAAGTTCACGCGGCAATGCGCTTAGAAAGCGCGGGACACTTCGGCACCCCCGACAGCGGGCTACAATGCTCCAGGGGCGACCATGGTAACCTTCTCAGCACGAGGGATGGACGACGCCCCAAGACAACGCAAAAATTCCCGGGCCTTGCGAGCTCGCTCAACCACGGTCGGCGCCGCACGGGCGCGGCCACAACTGCGATGAGCACCGAACTCGCTAGCTTGGCCCTTGCGTGGGACCACGGCGCCATTTATAGCCGCGTAGCGGGCCTCCTTTTTGGTCGTCCTGCCAGCAGCGCCCAGGCCCGAGGGCCAGGCCCGGCAGGCGCCGGGCTTGAGCCGCGGGCCCCACTGGAAGCAGAGACGCCCACTGCAAGAGAAAGTCGCGGGGACTTGCGAAGCAGCGCGGCTGAGCCGCTGGAAATTGCCAGCCCAATTCATCAGCGCGGCGCTCGCGACTTCCGCCTGTGCCACGGCGTGGAGAACGCATGTCGCCACGATGAAGCGACGACCGATGCTTTCGAGCCCCCTGCGCTGCCTCTGCGCTCGCGCGGGGGCCCGACACCCCCCCGCCCTTTATTGGCGCCGAGACGCCTCGGGGCCGCGGCCGCCCCTCGCCGCGGGCCGCGCGCGGAGGCAGATCCCTGGGCGCGAGGCTTCGGGCGACGCCCTGGCGCCAGCGGCAAGGCGGACCAGACGACTGGAGCGAGTTGGGCCAACCCCGCCCGGGCCGGGCCTCTGGCGGAGCAGGACTGGCAGGGGGCCCCCTGGGCGGCCCAGCGGGCCCATCGGCGAGAGGCGGGGGCCAGGCCCGCCGACGGCAGAGGTCCTACGGCGCCGAGACTCTCCTGGGCGACCCCGCCAGCGCGGGCGAGTCCTTCCCAGACAGGTGCCAGGGCGCCCGGCCTGGATGACGAGGCCAAAGAGGACTACGCTGGCGGGCTGTTTCTTCGAGGGCCGCGAGTCGGCGAGGGGCGACGAGGCCGCGGCCGCGCAGACGCACGGGCTCCAAGAGAATTTTCAGGCAGAGCGGGGCGCAGACGCCCAGGCCCTGGAGGCGTGCGCTTGCGGGGCCGGCGCAAGATGGCTCCTGGCCTGAGCCGCCGCGCGCGGGCACTGGCCTCCCAGCGCTGTCTGGTCCGGCGCATCGTGGCCCGGGGCGCCCTGCAGACGGCGATCTTCTTGCCCGTGATGGTTCCATGCGTTGTTCGGCGCAGCCATCCGCCCACCCCGGCGAAGGGCCACTCCGCCCCCCCGTCGGCGGAGGCGCGCCGACGGCGGTCGCTTCTTATCTTCCCAGACGAGAAACGCTCAGGAGCACGACGGGCCTGGCCGACGTCGGGGCAATGTTGGGGGCCACCGAGGTGCGCGTCTGGAGTTTCGCCTGGGCCCCAGTTCCTGCAGGTCTTCCGAGCCCCCCTCAGAGACCTGGGCGCGGATCAGAACGTCGCGCCGTGCCGAGCCCGCTACTCTGAAGTCGGGCCCGTCTCTACAGGGGGAAGATTCAAACATAGTCAAAAAATAGTACGGGGACGATCGTTTGATTTTATTTGCATTTTCGGAATATGTTTGAGGGAAATTTCAAAATTTCGTCCAAGATCCGCCTGTAGGGGGACATGCCCAACTTAACGCTACTCGGGGCCCAGCATCGACGCGGCGCGTCGGCGCAGGCCCCTCGAGGATGCCCAGAGAAGAGGCCAACCGAAGCACGCCATGCCAATGCACATACGAGAAGGCTGCGCGTCAGTGTCAGAGTTGGACCCTGATGGGCCTGTAGGTGGTCCACCTCCTCCTGCTCCACCTCCTCCTCCTCCTCCTCCTCCTCCTCCTCCTCGTCATCCTCCTCCTCGTCCTCCTCCTCCTTCGCCCCTCCAACTTATGGTGGTGTTGGTGGAAAGCAGGCCCAGCAGACCCTGCTGCCAGGATCGTTCCGGCGCGCTGACCGTCTGCGGACGTCGTCTAGAGGGCACGCTGCTCGGAACAGATGCCGAGGGGATTCCCCTTCGAGGCGAGATGCGAGGCGCCAAGTACTTGCGCGATCTGTTCCCAGGGTCCGACTCTATCGGGTATGCCGCGTTGCGGCGAGCCTCCAATTGCCGTGGGTGCGATTCCCAGCACAGTCCCAACGAAGATTCGACTCACTTGTCTGCCCGTCGTGGTATCGAGCTGGCCATTCCAGAGAAGGGAGGTGGTAGTTGCCAGCGTCGCCCCCCCGCACGCGTCTCGGGGCACCGCGGCAGACCGCGGCCGCCGGCCAGGGCGGTCCAAAGCTTTCCCATGGGGACCCCCAGGTGCCAGCGAGTACCCGCATCAGAATCAGTGCAGGTAACCCCCCTTTCTTCGACGGCCCTCAACCTGATGCGGAACTTCGGCACACTCCGGAGTTGCAGTCCTGGGCACAGAAGGGCCAATTTCCAGGTGTTCGACCACTGAATCCGGAAATCGCTGCAAGAAGCGCGCTCAGTTGATGTTCGTTGGGGCCGACCCGAACAAAAACACAGTGAAGCCCGAGGTCCGCTGCCGCAGTCACAACGGTTGGTGTTCGGCCTCGGGTCAGCCCAATGCTGGTTCAGAGCGGAAGGCGCCGTCGGGCACCACGTGGACTTCGCTGGCGCCGCCTACCCCCCAGAGCTTGCTGTCCGCATGGCTAACTATTTGCTCAGCCGTCAGAGGGGTCTCGAGGCGGTTCGTCTCACGTGGCCCTCCTCGCCCACCCGGGGAACCATTTTGGGATATGTGGCATTATGTGCGTCTGATGAGTTTTGCCAGGGCGGGTAGCCCGAGGTAGCAAAACTGTTGCCGCCCAGTGCAAGTAGGCAACTTGACACTGCGTGCACGGGAGGGTTGAGAGAAATGTCATGATGTGTCAAGGACCGTTTCATCAGGGGGCCCAGACTCCATAGGCTCTCGTCGGTTCCCTCTCTCCCTTGCTTGCCCCCTCCACTTCGCCTACTTAACAGGGCATCGTGTGCGTTTATATTTGCTTTTCCAAGACAAGCAGCACGAGGCAGGAACATGTTCGCCACTCACCATAATCAATCTCATCATCACCATCGGCATCGTCATCATCAGATGTACCACCGTGTTCCTCCTCATCTCAACCTTCCTCTACATCATCATCATCATCCTGCCTCCCGTCCGCTGGCCATTTCCCCTGCAGCGACGTAGCCTTCTGGATCTTCCACTCGGGGGAGCGGGTCGCGAGGAGATGGCTGTCCAGCTCTTCCCCTTCCTGAAGTGCCTGAGGCCCCTGATCAGGCCTGAGCCCGGGCCGGGAGGCGAGGAAGGAGAAAAGCATGAGCAGAGGCCTGCGGAGCTCCGCGCGGATGCACTGGGTCGGCGTTGGGCCCCCCTGGCGCGCCCCGTGCGCCGAGGACGGAGTCCCAGCAAAGGTCCAAGAACTTCACGCTGTCAAAATCTGGTCTTGTCCTTCTGGGCAGCAGGAGAGTGACGGATGATGAGCTACCCAGGGTTCTGGCGGTCCGGGCCAGTCGGGGGGGGGGAGTCGAGAGTTCCAGAGGCTGGCGACTCAAAATGTCGAGCAGTCGAAATTATGGGCGGCACGGACGAAATGGGTACGGAAAGAATGGGTACAATGCCCAACAGCAGTTCCTGTTCATTTTGAACAGGGTTCGCTGTCCGCGCCGCGGCGGCCTCTGCCCATTTGAGACAGAAGGCCACCTGCCCAACAGCGGCCGCTGTTGGTTTGGGACAACATTTGCTGTTGGGCATTGTACACATTTTTTTTCGTATCCACTTCGGGCGTCCAAATACAGGTGGGTTGCACGGGGTCCAGGCAGAAGATGAAAGCCATGCAGCCACCAACGAAAACGATGGCCACACCGACGGGCGAAGCTGGCGACGGCAACGACACGACAATGTTGAGGAGGAGGAGGAGGAGGGGGAGGACGCGTGGTATACGGGCGGAGGCGGGCGGGGAGGGAGAAAAGGGAAGGAGTGAGGTACGGAAGGGGAGGAGCGGTGTGGGAGAGAAAGGATCGGCGAGGGATATGGAAGGAGGTGGAGGAGGAGGAGGAGAAGGGGGAGGAAGAGGGGGAGGAGGAGGAGGAGGAGAAGGATGAGGAGGAGGAGGAGGAAGGTTTGTGTACACGGCAAAAGGAGGAGATATCGGCAATGAGGGAACAGAGATGAGGTAAAGCCAATACGATGAAGATGGTCCAGGCGTCTAGCCAGGCCAAGCGTTGGAGAGTTCCTGGTTGCAGCGGCGCGCCCTCGCAGCGGCAGTCAGACGCGGACGCGGGCGGCTGACTCGATGGCAGCGCAGGAGGAGGCGGAGGAGGAAGAGGAAGAGGAGGAGGGGGAGGAGGCGGAAAAGGTGGGGCGGCACCAGGAAGGGAGTGGAGGGATAACGAAGAGGAAGAGAAACAGGAGCAGACGAATGGGGCGCCGCAGCAACACCATCAGCACGAGCAGGGGCAGCGTTACGCAGGGCGCTAGTGGATGAGGAGGAGGAGGAGCAGGAGCAGGAGCAGGAGAAAGAGGAGGAGAAGGAGGAGGACGAGGAGGAGGGGCAGGGACGCAATAGGATAGAATGGAGAGGTGGGAGCAGGAGCAGGGAGCAGGCAGCACGGCAACAGCGAGGCGGATCAGCAGCACGAGGGGCAGGGGCAAGAGGAATTGGGGCAGGAGCAGGGACAGAAGCAGCAGGTACCACGGGGAGCTTGAGGAGTAGGAGGAGGAGGAATGGCCTGCCCTCGGGGCACTAAAAATGGCATGAATACAGAATGTCGGAGCTCCGCGCGGATTTGTCGTATCGGCGCTGTGCCCACTGGTGGCGCCTCTGGCGCCGCCCCTGGTCGGCTCCGCGCGCCAGGGAGGGGGATCCAGCGCCGATCCAAGAAATCCGCGCGGGCCTCCGACTGTTTCTGTCTACGCCGGTCGTTGCTTCTCTATGACTTGCCAGGCGTCTGGAGCGCGCTTACCATACGGCCGCGCATTGGCCTCCTCAGTCTCTCCGTTCTTTCCTGCTCCCTTGTCCTCGTCTTCCTCTTTCTCTTCCGCGACCATGCATCCCATTGGTGCTATGTGAGGCCCGGTGCACAGAAGTTGCCGCTGACGGGTGCCTTATTTGCCTCGTCGTCGTCCCCTCCTTGTCGTCCCGCTTCCCCGTCCCTCTGTGGCGTTTGAGTTTTGCCGCGGCTCCTCCAATACAGCCGCACGTCGCCAGGACGCGTTGGCCAGGCCAGGCCCCATCCTTTCAGGCACTGTCGGAGGCGCCACGCGCCTCTGGACCCCTTTTTCCACACGGTGGCGGAAGTGGTACGTGGCGCGATGAGGCGAACTCTCCCGGCTCGCTCATCGTTCCCTTCGTCCTTTCCCCTCATCCCCATTCTCCCCCGCCTGAGCTTCCTTCTCTATCTCGAAAAAGCCAGAGTTGCATAAGCATGAACTTTCGGAGCTCCGTGCTGCGCCCCCTGGCAGCGCGTCTGGCGTCGCCGTTGGCGCGCTCCGCGCGCCAGAGAGGGGGGGGGGTCCAGCGCGTCCAGCGCCGATCCAAGAAATCCGCGCGGAGCTCCGAACGTTTACGTTTACGCACTTTGCTTTTTCTCTTTATGCTCTCCATCCCTCGCCCGCCGCCACCGTCGTCGATCGTATCCCGTCTGTCGTCGTCGCGTCGTGTGTCGTCCTCGCGGTCGCCGCGCAGCTTCTCAGCCGTCGTTGTCGTCGTCGATGGCCGCCCTTGTTTCTCCTCCGCCTGTCTAGGTTGGCCTCGCGCGCGCCCGCGTAGGCCTGCCCAGGCGCGCGCAAGGCCAAACTGGAATCCTGCGTAGGCTCCTCCGTCCCTGGTGGTCGAGAGGGGGAGGAGGAGGCTTCGGATACGGATTCGGAACGATGGCTAAGCAACATCGAGCAGCTACAACTTCGGGGGAAGGTCCCTCTCGAATCTCGAGAGGTATTCCCTCCGCTTCCTGGTGAAGCGCAGGGGATCATATGCGGATGCCAGGGCACAAAGCTGCTCAGGCTCGAAATATCCGGGAGCCTTGCGAATCCAATTTCTCGAGGCGACTTTCAAGCACGTGGCGTGATTATGATGCACCCTTTTCTCTCGCCACAAGAGCCTGAACCCCTTCGGGAGGCTTATGATGCAGAGGAGGGAAGCGACGCGCCGTCAACCGCTGGGTGCGGCCAGCCTTGGTGCACGAGTTGTAACATTGCGTGCACTTCACTCCGTCGTCGGCCAGCCACCACGCGCTCCAAGCAGAGCAGGGCGACGGCGGCAGGGTTGGTAGGAGGAGGAGGAGGAGGAGGAGGAGGAGGAGGAGGAGGAGGAGGATGGGGGGGAGGAGAAGGAGGGGGAGTGGAAATAACGGCGGCGGTGGTGGCATCAGCAGCGGACCCAGCCTTCTTAGCCTTCCTTGAAGCCTGCACAGCATTGATAAACTCCAAGGTCGGCATCAGCAGACGTTTCCGAACTAACGACACTCCTCCGTTCAATATAGTACAACTGGAACCGAGAGTTACCCGACTGCTTGTATAGCTTGGCCGCCTCTCCTGCGAGCTCACCTGCGAACACCATACCAGAGATCATCCATCTGAGGAAAAGCTGGAGATGCAGGCCAATTTTCCTCCAAAAACCAGCTAGCTGACCTTGCGGATGCTCCCAAGGGCGGTGTCACCAACCTCGGACCACCTCTTCGTTGTCTGAAGCGAAAGTCAAGTGCCCAGACGTGAAGCGAATTGCCGCTTCGAGACCTAGCTGTTCCCCATGCGGTACAGTTTGAGGGTGCCCAGGGAGAAGACCAGAAACGGAATCATCACATAATTACGCTACCGAGGAACCCCACCTACTTTTTTTATGTCATGTGTGCACAAACTACCACTACCACCGCCACCACCACCAGCCAGAAGAGCCAGTCAGCCCAACCAACCAGACTAACGAGACCAACCAGATTAAACCACTGACGCCGAACTATCGTTCCAGGACGTCTCGTATTCGCCGTACTAGTCGTCGTACTCAGCGTCGTGCCTCGTCGTCGTACTCATCGTCATACTCGTCATCATCCTCGTCGCATTTGTCGTCGTACTCGTCGTCGCCGTAGTCGTCGACTCCAGCGCTGATAGTACGAATTCGTTGTCGTCGTCGTTGGCGTACTCGTCGCGCTCGTCCCTCTCGTCGTCGTACTCGTCGTCTTACTCGCCGTCTTCGTACTCGTCGTCGTCGTATATCGTCGTCGTATTGGCGGTCGTATTCGTCGTCGTCCTCGCCGTTGCACTCGTCGTCGTCTTACTCATTGTACTTGTCGTCGCATTGGTCGTCGGGCGGGGGCGAGGAGAACTGCGTGGAAAGGAGGAGGGAGGGTGGAGATCTTGCACCGTGCTTCTCGTTCTCAGCCCAGCCCGCACGGTAGCGCGCATGCTGCGATAGCCTAAACATATACTTGACGGAAAATCTCAGAGCTGCTCGTGGAAGACGATAAGACGCAAGCGTGCGCTGTCGGCGTTGTCCTCGAGTGCCCTTCGATGGAAAATCTCGATTCACTGCTGGCACGAGGACATGGGCATGCGCCTTCATCTCGTCGGGGAGAGATGCGGCGCGGCAAGAAAGGACGGGGGTCACCGAAGGCCGCTTATCGGAGCGGGGCGCGGAGAAAGCGCTTGCAAATACAAACGCAACTTTTGTTCGCGAAGACTCCGAGGTGCACGTGCAGCGGAGAAAACACCAGAAAATCCCGTGGACGGAAAATCTTTCCGGGAGCGCTCTTCGATGGGAAATCTCTGAGCGGCAGCGCTCCAGCGACCTCCCGCCGCCTGCAAGGCCCATTGGCGCTCCAGAGCGAAAGCCTCGATTTTCCGAGTCTCCACGGCCATGCGCTCATCGATCTTCTGGAGGGTTTTGAGTACGGACGGAGGCGGGCCTTTCTGCTGGACCTCTGGCAGCGGCCGAAGCAAGAGCAGATCGTCCATGCAAGTGGCTCTGCTATGCATCGCGTACAGGTGCAGCCACCAGTTCTCTGTTGTTTCTTCTTCTTCTTCTTCTGCTTCTTCTTCTTCTTCTTCTTCTTCTTCTTCTTCTGGTCTGCCAATGCTCGTGTCTTGCGCGCAGTCGGTGGCCACCCTGGCGCGGATCCTCTGGTTTTGTGACGCGGCGGGCGTCAGGAAGTCCCGTGCGTGAGCGCGTACCCAAACCCCCTAACATGGCGCACTATGTTGACGTTGTTTGCCTGTTGAAGTGCGCCTCCATGAGCGGAAGCAGGACAGGTCGTTCGCCTTCTCTTCCTGGATACCGAAGGACTTGA